GTACAGGGGTACGGTGAACAGAGTCTACATGCTGTCTGGTCTCTCATTCGCTTGTATGGCATCAGGGCACCGTACCCCCGTACAGTAATAGTATTAGTACCTCATTCTGAGAACAATCGACATGCTCCGACCCTACCCACTTTGTCTTTCAAAACGACCGTCGAGCGGGGAAATGGGGAGTAACTGCGTCTTAGGAGAAACAGCAAATGCTCTTCAGTTGTCCATACCAGTGCTCCTTCACTGGATTCGCCAAAATTATCGACGTCCCCGCAGAGACGACCCCCTTAGCCTCTTGCAACATGGCCCCCTAGCACTCACCCCAAAAACGACCTTGTGTAACCCTTATTCGACGCCACCTCATGTGACCATCATCAACACACAAAAACCCTAACACGACCCCCTCCCCTCCGAAAAACCAAGATACGATCATTAGCTGGCAAATTACCAACGGACCAAAGACCCTGTGTGAAACATTCAACACCTCTACGCATCAAGCCGTGTTCTGAGCTAACATCCGGGTTGTATAGAAATGTGGTTCACAATGCCATGTAACCTCGTTGCCGTGCTAGGGTTGTGCCCTTCAGACACATTGAGTTAGCATCAATGCTAGGTTGCACCCATTCGACAATAGTCACAAATCTCCATAACTTACTGTATCGGGAGTTGCTCCACGACAGGTTGTGCCAGACTGGTGAGAAGAATGAACGACTTCGGCCTGACTTTTTCCATTCTCATTAGCATTGGATGCATTCATTGGCAAATAAAGTGTCCGACGTCGAGAGATGAGAACGATATTCTCCGAGTTTTCTCACTGCCGGAATTCTGGAATAGTCGATAAAAAATTAAAATAAACTTGAAACGATGCTGTGATGCTACAAGAAGTACGGCGGTCTCAAAGGGTAAAGGCAGTGAACACGATGATTGGAGGGTGGAGGTGATGACGTCATTGGCGGACCACGCCCACAGCGTCAAGGGGCGTGGTTAGGACCGCTTTCCAACGTCCTTGCACCAATCGTTCTCAATGAGTCACCAAAATTGCTCGGTCTTCCCATCATCGTGATCACTAACTTTGAATTATTGGTATACGCAAAGATGTACTTCAGCGTGTGGATAGTAGGTAAATTTCAAACGATCGTGAACAAAATACTTTTGTTTTAGGCCGAGAACGTGCAGGAAAAAACAGTGATCATACTGTCAGATGTTGGATCTACTTTCTGCAAAAAAACCCTAAGTGCACACGAGAATGAATTCACCATTGCCGAAGAGGTATTGTGCCTAACTTTCGAAATGAAACAAGTAACTGTCGTTTCTCTATCTCACCTGTACCTACTCGCACAAGTTATTTTCCATGTTATAACTTCAGCTCGTTCTGAGAAAAAAATTGCAGTGGCGCCGGAATAAAGTGCGAATTGTTTATGTAGCTATAGAAGCAAAGTACAGAGAGAATATGGAAAGCGTTGCGGGCGGTGCACATCAAGTTATCCCTGTGTCGGACTTTGGAGTAAGTCATTTTATCTCTGCAATTGTACCTAAGTTTCACCAAAATGTTCAGGCAATGGACAAGAGTGTTGTGAAGGAAGTGCCAGCCAAGTTATGTGCGCCTGTGGAAGAGTGGAAACCACCAGTTTCGTGCCAATCTGTGAGCTGAACAATTTACAGCTCTGAATTAAATTTTGGTCTTATGTTGCCATGATTAGTCCATTGATAGAGATAGTAAGATAGACTTCAAATGCAGCGATCACGATGACTAGAGAGCGGTGCGATTCTGGTAACAACCTTGATGGAAAGGCGTTACGAAGCAGTCAACCACAGCCCCAAGGCGCTGAGGAATCGTCCCATGACTTTTAATAATAACAGACAAAAAAATCGACCAATGACTTTCAGTGAATTCATCAAAACCGCACCGCTCTCCAGCAATCGTGATCACAGCCTAGCCATTCAGGTAGAGTAGGAGGAGAATGGCCCCACCAGGCTCCTAAAACTGGCACGGAGCCTCTTCATGTGAATGAGTACAGAAGTACAACTTCACTCAATAGAACCTTGACATACGAACAGAACACAAAATCAGAAAATTTTTGCTCTAATGTCTAGTCGTTTTAAAGGGCGTCGATATCACGAAAGTCACAAAGTCTCTCGTTTTCATACTGGACGCTACTGAATCAATAAGTGAAGAGCAGTGGAACAAGGTGCGTGTTTCATTTACAAATCAGGCAAGTGTCAGACTTTGCGATCAATCGCTAGCGAATCGCGCAATTTGTTAGCGACTGGTCGTAAGGTCAGGACATCTGCTTTTGAATTTCTGTTGCCATTTAAGCACTATGGATTTATCACTATTCAGTCTACCCATAAGATTCAGTGGTATCGCAGAGAAAAAAATTGCTGCAAATTAGAAATCAATAATGCTCGCTGTAAGAGAATCGCATTTCGGAGGAGAGACGTTCACTTTCTCTCACTCCGTTTCCCTCCCTCTTTCGCTCAGGTCACCATGCAGGGACCGCATGCAGCAGTACCCGGCCGGGGGTGGGTCCCCAAAACTCTGCGTCCCTGCTCTTGTCGATGAAGCGGTCATCATCGTGGGAGAGTCCAGAGATGCAGAGTTTAGGGACCTACTTTAGCCAGGTACTGTTGCACACGGCTTCAGGTAAAAAAAAACTCAAGCTCAGGGCTTGCCAAGAGCAAACGAGAGGTGTAATGACAAACAGGTATGATGTACCCTCTATTTCGGGAAACGAAGAAGAGCGTCGAGTGCAGACCACACACCACAAGTGACGACAGCCGAGGAAAGCCGGCTTTTTTCTTTTTTCTTGGCTTCGTAATTTGTGGTGTGTGGTCTGGACGCTCTTCTCGTTTTGCAAAATAGAGGATAGACCCTACTCGTCAGCTCAAGATTACATGCTGATATGTACGGAAGATTTACTGAAATCCTGAACGACTTCGAAAGCTAGCAATTTATCGAGGCACTTCCAGCAAATGCGACTTGTAACAAACATGAGGAAATATGTGGAAGAAGCGGAACAAGTGGGAGTTGTAGTTATTGCTTGCCCATCAGACATTCTTCTTCCGATGGGAACATACACAATAGAAGAAATTGGTAATTTTTTTTTGAATTTCACCATTCTACTGCTGAGTCTTAAAACTTACTTACAACAACCAGAGATGATTAAAAACGGAGACCGCTAAACAGGCTCTCACGACAACTGCAGAATTTCAAGTGGATTTGAAGCGGTTCTCTCCAGGAAAAATTCCTGCTTTCTTCCCCAGCATAAATATGACGGCTTCGAGAACCACACCCTAAGGATGATTGAAGGCATGGAAAGTGCGCCTGAGGCGGTCACGTATCAGGCGACGCATTGAAAGAATCGGGTTAAAGCGTTCGATTTTGGAGAATAGAGACAAAACGATCGATAGAATAGGATGCGGTAAAAGGAAAATGTTATTGCAGTAGGTGGAAAAGGCCGAAAGAGTTCTTAGTAACGGCACTCCGGGAATTAAGTTGACTACCGAAAAGCGGAACCTACTTCGTGTTAGTGTCACATCTTGAAGCTCGTTGTCGCTGCTAAGTTGCGTGACCTAAGTAATCTTTCCGTACTTTGGTTGAGAACAGACAGCGCACCTCCAGATACTCATAAGAGCGTGCTGAAGTAAGGCAGAACAAAAATAACACAACCGAGCATAAAAGATACCAACGCCGTACAAAAGAACTAAAAACTGAATGCCAGGCGACAACATAAAAAAGAAAGCGAAAACATAACACAAAGAAACTGAAATTTTAAACTGAAGGACAGAGTGATGGTAGCTCCAAATAGATGGTTAGAAGTCAACACAACAACGTCAGATGTTCACACACGTCCTCCGAATTGTCCCATTCAACTTATGTGATTCCATCAGCCCAACTTGTTCAATTTCCCCTTGACTTAAGAGCACGACTTATGGTGCTTTGGAACGGCTGAAGTACACTGCAGTTTAACGGAGATTGGCACATGGATGACTACAATAAGCTCGTAGATACAACATCTGAGGTCAGTGAAGCTTCTGGGTCATGGTTGGTCTTGAAGGCCGTAGTCATCCTTGCGAGACTTCCCGAATCCACTTTAGACAAATCTTCCCTCTCAACGTGTCTAGTCCTTCAACTTCATAGCTACTGCGAAAGGCTTCTCTCGCTGAATGCCCCAGATGCTATTCGTAACATAGAATTTTGTTATTTTAAAGGGTGAGGTCTTACAATCCCTCAACCTGAAGCAGTGCAAACATTTTTCTGGAGGATGGCTTGGATAAAATCGGCACTCACTTATGACTCAGCCGGATAGATTTGCATTAGTTCTGCAACCTGAACCACGTTATTTCTGTGAAGTGCTGAGGGTCCAGTCATGCAGATGTTGTACAGTAGCTATTTTCGACCGCTTATTTTCGATCGTGTGAACAATACTCCAAACTTGACTGCGTGGTAGCGGTTGTAGGTCATGATAGACCGCTTTCTTCCACCTCTGGATGTTCTTCTCATGAAGGCCAGGGGACGACCCTCTTGGTGTTATTATCGAAATCCGGCTATTGATCTCGATTGTTAGATCTTGTAAAGAAAATTATCTACCTGCCGTGTTCATTAAGATATCGAACGACATTAGATTTTTCGCATTCAATGTGCTCCGCTAATCGGCATACGACATTGGCAATTATCGCCCAATCTGCCTGCTGTCTGTAATCTATAACTATTCACTCGTCCTTAACAGGATCGGCAGAATACTAGATGAAGGACAGCCATGCGAGCAAGCAGGGTTCCGAAGAGGGTTCAGCACGATCGACCATATCCACACGGTTACGAGACTCATTGAAGTTTCACGAGAGTACAAGATGCCGCTTTGTCTCACGTTCATCGACTTGAAGAAGGCCTTCGACTCTGTGGAGACAGAAGCGGTCATCGAAGCCTTGGGCAACCAGGGCGTCCCTACTCAGTACATCAAGATTCTTCGTGAGCTCTACAGCAACTTTACGACCAGAATCTCACCATTCTACAAGGAGGTCATCATCGACGTCAAGAGAGGGGTTCGACAGGGCGACACCATCTCGCCCAAACTCTTCAGCGCCGCTCTCGAGAACGTCATGCGTCTCTGGAATGGAAGACAAGGGATTGAAAGCAGGGTCAACCGTCCGTTGGACAAAGTCCAACGCGACGACGAGAGTAATGCCGAGAGTGAACGTACGCACGGAGACACAGACGGCTCGCGGGTGGCGAGAGTGAATGCCGGCGCGGAGAGCGGTGAACATCGGTCCAACGTCGCTCCAATATCGGTCCAACGTCGGTCCAATATCGGTCCAACGTAACGGTTGACCCTGATTGAAAGTCAACGGTACCACCTTCGATTTTGCTGACGATATCGTTCTTATAACGCCGAACATCGAGCAAGCGGAGCGAATGCTGGCTGATTTCGACTGCGCCTGTGGTAAGGTCGGTCTACAGCTGAACCTAACGATGTTTATGAGAAACGGATTGGTTTCCTGATGCCCCATTCACGCTCAACGGAACGAACATCACCGAATGCTCCAGCTACGTGTACCTAGGTCGGGAAATCAATATGATGAACGATCTAGCTCCAGAGCTGAGCAGGAGGAAACGAGCGGCTTGGGGAGCGTATAAGAACATCGAGGGAGTAGTGAAGAAGACGAAGAACATCCGGCTCCGTGCCCACCTCTTCGATTCCGCTGTCCTTCCTGCCCTAACCTACGCCTCAGAGACTTGGACTCTGCGCAGGCAGGACGAGCATGCGCTCAGCGAGAGGACGATGCTAGGAGTAACCCTACACGCAAGTGCAGAGGGGAATCCGGAGTTCCGAACTACGCAACGATCGAAGATCAGGGACGCTGCCGTTTTCGCCAAGGAATCGAAGATGAAGGTGGGCCGGACACGTCATGCGACTGGTATTACTAGGGACGTTAAAAGAGCTCCTGAACAAACGCCGGCCCGGTGCTAAGACTCTTCACGAGAGCTCTGAACGAAAGGAATGAAGCACTACGTGTCTCTTGAGCGAGAGGGATCCACTGGACCACTCTTGCACGTGACAGAGGCGAATCAAATCCCGGGTAGTGCGCCGTAAAAGCCAACCAAATCTTCCACCCTGACTTTTACCGTAGTGGTCGAGAGTGTTCGCCAAAACGGTCTTTCGTGCTTCTCTTTTTTCTGCCAGAAAACATTGATGGTGACCTCGAAGATTCTTTCTGCAGAATACTTAGGTCGTGAGTCAAAAATACTCGCCGTTTTGAACGCATAACTTTCAAACTTCATAACTTTCTTCAAATACAACCGTTTTATTCGAAATAAGAACCATTAGATTCAACACACTTTTGCCAACGTTCCACAAGCAGATGAATCCCTCTTTTGTAAAAATTTGAATCCTTTGAGTCCAAAAACTTTTGAACAGCCATTTCGACATCCTCCTTATTTTGGAACGATTTCCCCTCCAAGAAATGCTTTAAGGAGCGGAAAAAGTGGTAGTCCGTAGGGGATAGATCTGGAGAATAAGGAGGATGTGGGAGAACTTCGATGCCCAATTCGAACAGTTTTTGCATGGTGCATCTTGCGACATGCGGTCTAGCATTGTCGTGCAAGATCGATCGGACCTTTTCGATTCACTAGAGCTGGAACATCCGTTGTCGCAGTTTTCCATGCATGATGTCCAATTCTTGACAGTAGGACTCCGACGTTATCGCCTGACCTGGTTCGTGGACCCTGTAGTGGATGACGCCTATGATAGACCACCAGACAGTAAGCATGATCTTCTTCGGGTGTAGTCCAGGTTTTGCTATGCTCCGAGGGGGCTCGTTCTCATCCACCCACTCGGCAACCCTTTTCGGATTCTCGTACAGAATCCAGGTTTCATCACACGTTATTATACGGTCTAAAAATGGCTCGTTCTTGTTGCGGTGGAGGAGGGATGCGGACACCTCCATGCGCACTGTCATGTGCCTAGCCGTAAGCTCATGGGGCACCCACTGACAAAACTTTTTCTTCTTCCCCATCGCATGGAGGTGATTCAGCACAGTACCCTTAGAGACTCCGAGCTCTCCTGCTAAATCTGTAGATGAGCGCCTCGGATTTGCTTCAACCATTTCCTTCAGAGAGTCGTTTATTGTTCGGAGAGGCCTCCCAGAACGTGCGTCATCTTCAAGTGAGGTGTTCCCAGACTTGAACTTA